GAGAGAGAGAGAGAGAGAGAGAGAGAGAGAGAGAGAGAGAGAGAGAGAGAGACAGAGGTGTGTGATCAGAATGGTACCAATCCTTTCAAATTCTAAAAACTGCTACTTTTCCCAATTGATGGTAATTATTGTTACAAACATACAAGGAAGAAAAAAAACAACTGCTATTCAATCTTATCCAAAATGGACTTTGTGTTCACATTCAGGAGATGGTGGTAGAGAAAGGAGGGAAGCGGGGAAGGAGACTAAACTATGTCTAGCACAAAGTTCACTGAAGAGTTGTTCAGGGATCTTTTAGGGAAACTTAAAGAAACATCTGAGCCAGGTCTTCAGGCACAGCCTGGTGACAGAGACAGCGCAACAGAGAACTGTTTTAAAGAACCCAAGCCTGGGTGTAGTTTTGGTAAAGCCCAGGTGTCTCAGGATATGCGGAAGCTCTCAGCAACCTACAGGAGATTGGGGGAAACCAGGTTGGTCTAACCTGGATTTTTGAAGGACCTGTCACTCAGCAGTGGTCTGAACATTTTCTGGACTGGGTTTAAGGTTGTCATCAGAAATTCCAATACTTGTGTGTCACAGTTGAGTCTGGTACCAGCTGGAGCACACATGACATGTGTGGCTCTATGTTTTGGGTTCTGGAGAGTCGGAGCCTGGTAAGAACTTGGGAGGAAATGTGGCAAATCCTCTGAAGAGGCTGCGTCCTGTGCTTGCGCTGAGTGCAGGCCATGTGCAGTGCAGACTCTGGGCAGCCTGAACTCCCAGCCTTGACTTGGACTCCTTGGAGTTAGAGCATTACTTCTCTATCCTGCTCTGACTTAAAGGTACAAGTGTCTTCTTGGCAGAATGACACTCGAGTGAATATGGAAAGGAGATTTTTTTTTTTTTTAGTTGGACACAATACCTTTATTTTATTAATTTATTTTTATGTGGTGCTGAGGATCGAACCCAGTGCCTCGCATGTGCTAGGTGAGTGCGCTACCATGGAGCCACAACCCCAGCCCTGGAAAGAAGATTTTGACAGGAGGATATGGGGTAACTTAACACCAAGGACACAGCTTTGTGCTCTGGATTCTGGCTCCAGTTCTACCACTCACCAGCTCCATGACCTTGGATGATTACTTTTGTGTAATAGTGCCTACCTATCTTTACATAGTATCCCCAACACGGATGTTGTGAGGATAACATTTAAAGAAAAGAGACACATGAAGCTAATTTTGAAGCTGGACAGGAGGAATGTCAGTTCTATGGACAAGACACAGAAATGGGCAGATGACAGTAGCCACTGTGGCCTGTGTTAAATACTGTCCGAGGCCAGGCATGCCAGGATATGGACTCGACACTCAAGTTAGGTGGGGGAAACTGAGTGAAGAGCTACTAACTGTTCTGGCTTTTGAGTGGAGACACTGAGGAGTCAGGCTGCCTGGACTCAATTTGGGACCTTTTGCTGTCTGGCTGAGTGGGAGACCTTGAGTAAATTACTTAGCCTTTTTGTGTCTCAGTTTCCTTATTTGTCAAATGAGGATGGCACACGTACCTGCCTCTGGTGGGTAGTCTAAGGATGACATATTAAAAGACAACATAAAATGGAAAGTGCTGGGCACATAGAATGCTCTTGGTGAAGGACAATTATTATTCAGACAACTTAGGCATGCAGGGAAACAGTGACAGGATCAGCTCTCTGAGTCCAAAGGTTTTGAAGAAGAGGGGTTATAAGGAGCATGGGTCCTAAATTCTTTGGCCAAAGAGGCCTCAGAGAGTCCCATCATGCCAGTGCTAGAGGGAGTTCCAGAGTAGCAGGGGGTTGGGGACAGCCCAAAGCAGACACCCGGAGCACCACACACACCTGGGGCCTCTCTAGGTGATATGGACAAGCCGTGGGACTTACAACTTAAGCTCATCCAGTCTATCTTCCATCTGTGAAGCCTCGTTCATACCCAGCGGTCCGTGCAGTGATTATTTTTTACCCTCTAGTTACAAATCTTTGGATGTTATTTTCCCTTTTTTTTCAGTGAGGCTGCTCAGAGATAGCTGAATTGATTTATTCTGGCATAAATATACAAAGCAAGGCATCTCTGTATGTTTAAAATGATACTCTAGTGTGAAGGCTGCCCCAAGACACTTGACTGTTACACACGAAGGGCCTCTAGGGTGGTAGGCCCAGTGTTGGGTACTTCATCCATTTTATTTATGGATAAAGCCCCACCCATTTGTTATAGCTAAAATTTGACTTTGGCAAGTGTGCATGAAGCTTGTTTTAAAATGTGCCCTCAGAATTACACTTGGAAACTCCATATGGTTATCCCAACAGTACCAAGCAGTGCTTCTGTGTGGTTCCACGGGACCTACCATGGCCTGAGGAAATCAGGAAATCTGGTTCCCACCCTATGGGAACCAGAGCTGACAGCCAGGATTGAAACATTCAAAACTCAACATTTTCCTCAAATGTAAACAGAATTACTGTGCAAAAAAGACACCCAGATGCAACCCTGGAATCAAAGACAACTCCAAGTTTATAAAACCAGCCATAAAGCTGATGTCTCTCTCACTGGCTCCCCTCTTCTCCTTCTAACCTCCATTCTTCCACAGGATCCCCCTCCTCCTCAGTACTATTTTAGATGATTTAAACCCACAAATAATAACAAAAAAAATTAAAAAGCATCAGTAATAACAAACTCTTATCTCTGCAAATAAGGGGAAATACAGTTCCCTACATGGCTTGATTTTATTTACATAGAACAAGAAGGCCTCAAGGATCATAGTTTTGAAACCTACATGTTAAAATTTTGAAATTCCTCATCATGTAGATGTGACATTTTAACAAGTGATGTGGGCCTTTTTGTTTGTTTGTTTGTTTACTATCATTTTCAAACAAGAAATTCTTTTATTTGTTCTTTTTTGGGGAGAATTTTACAAGATGCTGCAAATGCATATTACTAAAAAGGGAGAATTTGAAGAAGGCTGAGATTTAAACTGTCGTAATTGCAATCCAAAGGTTAACTGTTCAGGACAGTAAAGCCCAGCTGGGCTCTCTCTTGACGTTACGGCTTCATCTTAGCAGTCTGTAATACTGCTCTTAAAGATCCCCTCAGAACTGAAGGTCCTTAAAACCCTATTTCAATTGAGACTTGAGATTGTTTACCAGAGTACAAACCACCCCTCAGAGATTCAAAGGGATATTAAGTGCCTGGATGGTTAGATGTTTGTTCAAGACACATGTACTATCTGTCATATTTGGGCTAAAATCACTGAGCAAGAACTACAAACCTTTTTGGAAGTAGAGGCTTATGCTAAGAAGTTTCGAGGTTTATATAAAATGGTGCAGACTCGTAATTAAAGCTATACCACACTTGAGAGAATTTCACTGTCACATAATGCCATCTCTCATGTTTGTCACGTTTAAATGACTGAGCCCCTGAGATACTCAACCCAGGGCTCAGGGCTCCTGCCTTCCACAACAGGGAGAGCATCCCCCTGCTAATGAGCAGACTCGATTCCGTCAGCCTTGGGCCAGAGCTCAAATCCATTTTCCACTTGAAATCATACTGTTTCTACTGAAAAACTGACCCCAAGTGACTTCTTTGGGAATAACCAGGGTGGAGTTGGCTGCTTTTTTACCTTCAGTGCTGGGCTTTTTCATATCTTCCACCCTGATTAGTTTCTTTCTGACTCTTCGAGTGGAGTTGACCAGCTTGTGTAACCTCTTAAACTTCACCGACTCCTCGGTCTCATCATCCGATTGTTCTCTTGACTGGCAAAGAAACAGAGGAAAAAATTAATCAGATAATTGCTCCAGAGCCTTGCTCTTGCATCTGGGTAGAGCTGGCCTTCCTATTACCGGGCACCTGGGCAGTTCTGCGCCCAAACTTGGGGCACCAACAGATTTGCCCCATAGGTTTACACAGCAGCACGTACCATCTTAAGGTCTAATTTGGAGTAGAATTAAGTCCTGGGCATGAAGCACACACACACATCCTTGCCCTTGAATGGCACACAGGACATTTATCTCATCAGACTAGTTCCCTGTCTCTAAAAGAGACAGGACCTCTCAGGCAGGACTCTCTCCGAGCTGGCCCTATAATTCCAGTTACACTGCTGCGGTTTGGGCCGGGCTCTCCTCTGTCTGGCCCATCAGGACTTGCTGTTGAACGTGGTCATCAACTACTTCTCCAAACCAAAATTCTGTTGACTTTTTCCAGTCCTCCCCCGAAAATCAAAAACAGCAGGCAGGAAAGGGGAAGCAGTGCAGAACCTCCTCCTGTCCGATCTGTCAGGACGGATGCCACATCATAGCCATTCCTTCCGCCTCCCGGCTCTTTCGGGGGGCTCACAAGTCGAGGATGAGGACAGCCTGCATTCCTCCAAGGGAGGCAAGGGAAAGAGCTGACCTTTTCCGCCATAGAGTCCAGTCCATATTCCCCAGCATCCCATCCTGCCTTGCAGAGATCCAAGTATGTTCTGGCCCAGCTGTTTTCCCTCAAGTATCAAACATTACAGAGAGAGAGAGAGAGAGAGAATTCTCTCTCTGCAGCAGTGACCCAGGCTAAAAACAATCCTTTCCTTGTGAACAAAATGAGGGTTTCATTTCCAAGTCGGCTCCAACATTCAATATGCAGCTTCCTCTGCTGTATCTATTCAAAATGAGGAAAAGCCAAAGAAGTTTCCCACTAACAGTGTGCTGCATGGGCCGGTGCTTGGGCTGTGCTGGGAGCTCAGCCTCAGCACACCCTGGAGACCAGCGAGCATCCAGCTAATCCTGCACATCCTGACAGCAGCCTTCCCTCCACGTCCTCAAACCCGGTTCACGAAATGGTCGAAATGACTCAAACCGAAAAACAAAACAAAAACAAACCACATATCTGAATGCAATGTGAATGAGGGGACTTTTAGCCTAAGAAAAGCTCTCATGAATCCCAATTTTATAGACGATGAGATAGGGAAGCAGGAGTTAGCAGGGGACAGCTAACTCTTGTTAGGGAAGATTCCATTAATGACTGAGGCATAATAACAGTGCAGGCTGTTAAGAGCACAAATATTTTCTTGGCACTCTGGCCCTCTCTATGGGATAAACACCACCACTTTCCTGGCCTTGGTCCGTCCCTGGAGCTCACAGCATAGCGTCACGGTACTTTCTCCCTCCTGACCACTAATGATTAATTATCATAAACCTATCAGCAAGTCATTAAGAGAGGGTACTGTTCAATCTTCCCTTTTGTGAGGTTTATCAACATCTATGTCCAATTTCTTCCAAATTCCTAGATAAAACAGCATGTATAGGTTTCAAAAATTAAAGTTCACTCCTGGTTACCTGGCCCAGAAGATTGGAAAGTGGATCCCCAGGTAACTGAGAAGGTTGGTTATGTTGGATGCTGACAATTAGGCTTGGTACATTAGGCTAAAACTTAAGAGGTAAAAAACTAAAATAATACATGTAACCAAATACATATTTATACCGTCATATTTGAATTTCAGTTTTACTTGGTCGAAACATTGATGTGTGATGAAATGGGTCAGAGTGGTCAACCAGAGGAATGAGAACCCGGGGAACCCTTGCTCTGGGTAATTGGCACCTGAAGAGCCCAGGGTACATGGAATCACGCAGAAACATGTGACAACATTGTGCCTGGTGATGCAGCTTGAACGCCAAGCAATTCCAGCAGAAGCGGCAACTGTGCATGACAGAAAGTCTCTGAACATACCCACGAGAGAAGCCCAGGACATGTTGTCAACCCTCGCCTTAAAAATACTGGAATCAGTTGAAAATGAAATAAGCAGAGGGTGCTTGTGAACAAGATACAGGAAGCTGTATTACCTGCCCCAAATCTGTAACTAACACAGAGGTTGCACCTGGCTGTTGGTTGTTTGAGTTGGTGGTTTGTATGAATGAATGGATGGGGCATATGAGGAAGTGAAAAAAAAATGGGATACAGAAATTAGTAATACAGAATCCGTAGTCTGCAAAGACATAAATCATCTGCGGGGGAGACGCTTTAGACAGACCCTTCCAGGGAGAAATCTAAACAGTTCCACCAGGACTACAGACATCCAGGTAATGCCCGCCACCAAGCCCCCCTCTCCCCTGCCCAGATCCACTGTGGTGAGAAAGAACATAGTCCAGGTACTTAGTTAATTGCTTTCACATGCTCCATCCACTTTTGGAGAAATGTAAGCTCTTTAGAACATTGAAATGATGCTTTTCTATTTTTCTGAAGAAGAAGAACAAGGTGGTAATTTTGGAGGTGCTTGCCATTGAGAAATCACAAACCATGGCAACTATCAATTTCCTTTGCATTATCATGTTTTGGACTTGACAAGATTGATGCAGCAAAATTTGTATGAAGAAGAATGTAAGCTAAAACTCAAATCATTCAAGAAATACATATAGTATGTTTTCTCTTTAAATAAGAAATTTCCTCTTAAGTCAGCCTGTAAGTTCAAGGATGCTTTTGATGGATGGAGACTCGCATCCTCCTGAATTCTCAGGAAAAATGTTGTGACACATTTTAACATAAAGATTTTGTAAAAAGCTGCATTTCTCCTAAACTGGGCAGTGAAGCATGAATGCTTCATGTAATGTTTCTCTTTTCAAATAACCATGTGCCACTTCTCAGCTGCTGAAAATAGGTATCATACATACATTTTGTTTTTATTTAGAAAATATACTACCCAGGATAGGAGTTTCAGAATGTTTTAAATTAAGAAACACAAAATAAATATATATGTATATAAATTTTAAATTAAAATGTTATAAATAAATATTAAAAATAAATATTCCCACCTGAAGAAACTTTGTGAAAGATAAAGGAAATCTGCACGTATATAAGATAAATGATTCTAAGGAACAGGATAGGAACAACAGATTTTAAATAAACCAAAGTGAAAAAAATATTCACACATATTCAACCGTGAGATGGTAGTATCTCCTTTCCCTGAGTCAGAGTTTACTAAAGTTTACTAAAAGAAATTTTAATTTTATCACCAATAAACAAGAGCGGGGACTCAGCCGTCTATATACCTCCCCACCCCAAACCTTCAAGAGAAAAAGGCATCTTATTCCACCCAAAGGATGTGGGATAAAAGTGGCTTCGCAGTATTGTAAATAGAAACATTTGATTTCTAGCCTCTCTACTGCAGATTTTTCCACCACAAAGCCCATATGGCTCAACTTTTAATTACTTTGGCTAATGCTATATGTAGTAATTCTGTGGTGAATGCTTAAGTGTTTCATTTCTGGTTTCCATAGCAACATTACATCAGATTGCAGACAGCTGGCTCCACAGTTTTTAACCATAACAAATTGACCAAGCCAAGGCACCAAACTATAGCTGCTTTAAAGAGATAGTACACCATTTGGCTGCCAGGACTCTGAATGGGGAACCTTTGGGGCCATTTGGCTGGAGAAGGAGGGTGGAGCCTCCTTCCTCCCCAGCTCCTTTTGGAACAAGTGCATCCTTGACACATCTGCGATGTTCTAATGGGAAAGCCATGGAGCCAGCGTGGAGAACTTTTATAACACAGCTACATGCAGGATGATCAGAAAAGGGAAACAAAATTAATCACATCTGTAACTAGGGAAGATTTACTGCTGAGAGGAAGCCTGTCACTGCCGCTGAAACATACTTCATTGGACCCTACGACAAACACTTCTCGAAACTATGATTGTGGAATAAATGCTTCCACAAAGCCACATGGCACAGGAGAAATCAAAGTTAAACCAGACTTACTAGGAACTACTAGATCCTTCCAGGGACCACTTGAGACCATGCTGAGCACAGGATTATAAACCCTGCCCTTTCCAGACTCATTGGCTCAGCTTGCCTCCCCTGCTCCAAACCCACAACCGCTGTCACAATTAACACCCAGGCTAAGTCAACTTATCTCCCCTAGTGCCTCATAACACTGTAAGATAAATAAGCATTTCTGAGAATAATTTTCAAATTGCAAATACACTTGCTTGTAAGACACAATGGTTTCTTTTTAAACTAGCATCCATCAGACATAGACCCTTCATCTTCCTGTGTGCATATTGTCTCGGCATTAAAGTTAAGAGAAGAAAACCCATCAGTTGTAAACTCATGAAGATAACAATGTACAGCGCTGTCTGAATTCAAGTCTGCCCCACGAAAAGCCAGCACAGCTCACAAATGAGCTCCTATCCGTGCCTGCTGTTTCTCTCCCATTCTCAAAATAATATTTACTATTCTCCTCCAAAAGCCATTCACGGCCATGGGGGGAAGACTGCAGGGCAAGAATGCTCCGGTTACAGGCAGCAAAGTAAGCAGAGAAGGACAAATGGAGAGGGATTTAAGGAGAAAAGAAAGACACATCAGGGGAACAATCAAAAAGCTTTTCCTTGATGCAAAGAGAAAAAGTTTGCCTTTCTCATGAGAGGCATTTGGCGACTTACCGGCTTCGGCATTTAGCAGGAGTGTGAGGGGCAGTTTCGAAAAGGTCCGGCACCCCCGCCCCCTCCCCACTTGGAGACCGGCTCCCTCTAGATCCTTTAAGTCTGTAATCTCAAAGTCAGGATCGGGTGCTCCTCGAACATGTTCTCTGCAGTTACATGATCAGGCAGCCTCCACCGTCACAGCCCAACATCCGAAGAAGAAGAAAGTTAAGACACTGGATTCAATTAGCCTCTCTGCCTGCTGCCCGATTCCCCAGTCGCTTGCTAACTGCATAAGTTGTAAGAAAGGCATAAGTCATCAGCTCTAAGCAAATCTCCTATTCACCACAAGGAAAAAAGGGAGT